AAAAGGGATCAAGAAAAGTCTGGTTGCTGCAGTGATGGAAAACAAATCTGAGGAGATAACTTTGCAGTCTTGATTTGCTGGTTGGAGTGCTGCGAGAACAAGACCACAGTGAAACAAAGCTGCCATGAGAAGACAAACATTGAAATTGTGATCTCAAGTTGGCTTGTTGCGGTAACATAGGAGAAAAAATGAAAGAGCTAATATGATCTTGAGATAAAAGAATGAAGGACAATGCAAGTCTGATTGCTGTGTGGCGATGAAAAACAAACCGGAGAGATAACTCTAGTATGTGAGGAAAAGACAAATGGTTGTTCTGATTGCTCAAAAAAGGAGTTAGTTGATGAGTTACTAATGGAGAAAAGGCAGTTAACCACACAATGAAAAGGTTTTGTAAGGTTTAGGATACAAACTTAAGTCACTTTATTTTTTGCACAGAGAGCAGTCTTTGTATTTGATGTTTTCGTAGTGAAATTAATATCTAAAATTTGATATAAACCAAAAAAAAATTTCTATATATTATTAAGAACAATTCTCTAAAATAGCCCTCTTTTAAGTTTTTATCACAAAATAGACCTCAAAAATTAAACTGAACAAAATACCACTTTTTGTTTTGAAAATTTTAAATTTTCTTAATTTTTTAAAAATCGAAACCCTATCCCCAAAACCCCACTCTTCAACTTTAAACAAAAAAATCTAGAATTAGTTAACCCAAAAGATATAAATGTATATTTAATAAAACATTTAAGTGTTATTTTGATCATTTTAATTGTTAAGATCTATGTTTGTGATAAAAAAATTTTAGGTATATTCTAGTCATTTTCTCTATTATTAATACTAATTTATTATTTTATCACAGATTATGAACAGCAACGATTTTAAGATTACATGCGTTTGTGTGAAAAAAAAATTAGATGTGAGCGTTCTCTTTACATCGTACTAGGTGTTTTGCCCGCACATGCGGGCTTAATATGATTATTTGCATCCAAATAATTCGACCTAATACATTAAACTTTTTTACATTGATAAAGTTATTCACAAATTAAAAACAAATCTACCTTTTCCTTTAAAATTTTGAAAAATCTAAAGTCTATTTCATTTCTTCGTAATTGATAAAAAGTATAGAAATCTATCTTTCAATTTGAAAAATTGAATCGATAAATATACATTTAAAAATTGATCTTACAGAAAGAATAAAATTAGTTTGTATAATAATACAAAATATTTTAATTTATTTTTGTCAAACACGTATTTTCTTTCTTTTGAATGATCTTTTATTTTATATGATTAACTAGGATAAGACCTGCGCCTTGCGCATGGTGAATATATGTAATTAAAATATAAAATTTTAATATTCACAAATTTAAAATTTACATATGATTGTTTTTGTATGTATTTGAAATTTTAGAATTTTGGAATTTTTATATAATTATCTATACGTATGATCAAAAACAGTTTTAATTAGAAATGTAAATCAAATCTTAGAATTTAATGGATCTGATTTCATATATCTTTTTACTTTTCAGTGTTCGAGTGATGGAAAATAAATGGAGTGTCACTGGGCTTGATTGGTACAGTATAGCAAGTTCCCTAATGTTTTTAAAGAAGCAATTGGTAAAATATTTGCAATTAAAATATATAAAGTTTCTAAACTAATTTAATATAATTTATTTATTTGTCTAATAATATTAGAAAATTATATTTTTTAAAAATAATTTTCTAAAAAATTATGTTAAATTTAAAATTATTTTTAAAAGCAATATTTTAAGTTTTT